TTTCGGGGATGTTAGAACAAGTTGGGAATCATATGCACTGATGTACGAGATTTGTTTTGGAACTAAGTAAATAAGTAACTAAGTAACTCTGAGCAGTAAGTAACCCCGAACAGTAAGTATCTATGAGCAGTAAGTAACTCTGAACAGTAAGTATCTATGACCAGTAAGTAACTCTAAACAGTAAGTATCTATGACCAGTAAGTAACTCTGAACCGAAAGTATCTATGACCAGTAAGTATGTATGATCAGTGACTAACTTTAAACACTAATAAACAATGACTTGCAACTTTTGTAACACAACACATTTCTAAGACGTGGCCGGCAGCAGTCACTTCGTTTCGGGGATGTTAGAACAAGTTGGGAATCATATGCACTGATGTACGAGATTTGTTTTGGAACTAAGTAAATAAGTAACTAAGTAACTCTGAGCAGTAAGTAACCCCGAACAGTAATTATCTATAAGCAGAAAGTAACTCTGAACAGTAAATATCTATGACCAGTAAGTAACTCTCAACAGTAAGTATCTATGAGCAGTAAGTAACTCTGAACAGAAAGTATCTATGACCAGTAAGGATGTATGATCAGTGACTAACTTTAAACACTAATAAACAATGACTTGCAACTTTTGTAACACAACACATTTCTAAGACGTGGCCGGCAGCAGTCACTTCGTTTCGGGGATGTTAGAACAAGTTGGGAATCATATGCACTGATGTACGAGATTTGTTTTGGAACTAAGTAAATAAGTAACTAAGTAACTCTGAGCAGTAAGTAACCCCGAACAGTAAGTATCTATGAGCAGTAAGTAACTCTGAACAGTAAGTATCTATGACCAGTAAGTAACTCTAAACAGTAAGTATCTATGACCGGTAAGTAACTCTGAACCGAAAGTATCTATGACCAGTAAGTATGTATGATCAGTGACTAACTTTAAACACTAATAAACAATGACTTGCAACTTTTGTAACACAACACATTTCTAAGACGTGGCCGGCAGCAGTCACTTCGTTTCGGGGATGTCAGAACAAGTTGGGAATCATATGCACTGATGTACGAGATTTGCTTTGGAACTAAGTAAATAAGTAACTAAGTAACTCTGAGCAGTAAGTAACCCCGAACAGTAATTATCTATAAGCAGAAAGTAACTCTGAACAGTTAGTACCTATGACCAGTAAGTAACTCTGAACAGTAAGTATCTATGAGCAGTAAGTAACTCTGAACAGTAACTATCTATGACCAGTAAGTAACTCTAAACAGTAAGTATCTATGACCAGTAAGTAACTCTGAACAGAAAGTATCTATGACCAGTAAGGATGCATGATCAGTGACTAACTTTAAACACTAATAAACAATGACTTGCAACTTTTGTAACACAACACATTTCTAAGACGTGGCCGGCAGCAGTCACTTCGTTTCGGGGATGTTAGAACAAGTTGGGAATCATATGCACTGATGTACGAGATTTGTTTTGGAACTAAGTAAATAAGTAACTAAGTAACTCTGAGCAGTAAGTAACCCCGAACAGTAAGTATCTATGAGCAGTAAGTAACTCTGAACAGTAAGTATCTATGACCAGTAAGTAACTCTAAACAGTAAGTATCTATGACCAGTAAGTAACTCTGAACCGAAAGTATCTATGACCAGTAAGTATGTATGATCAGTGACTAACTTTAAACACTAATAAACAATGACTTGCAACTTTTGTAACACAACACATTTCTAAGACGTGGCCGGCAGCAGTCACTTCGTTTCGGGGATGTTAGAACAAGTTGGGAATCATATGCACTGATGTACGAGATTTGTTTTGGAACTAAGTAAATAAGTAACTAAGTAACTCTGAGCAGTAAGTAACCCCGAACAGTAATTATCTATAACCAGAAAGTAACTCTGAACAGTTAGTACCTATGACCAGTAATTAACTCTGAACAGTAAGTATCTATGAGCAGTAAGTAACTCTGAACAGTAACTATCTATGACCAGTAAGTAACTCTAAACAGTAAGTATCTATGACCAGTAAGTAACTCTGAACCGAAAGTATCTATGACCAGTAAGTATGTATGATCAGTGACTAACTTTAAACACTAATAAACAATGATTTGCAACTTTTGTAACACAACACATTTCTAAGACGTGGCCGGCAGCAGTCACTTCGTTTCGGGGATGTCAGAACAAGTTGGGAATCATATGCACTGATGTACGAGATTTGCTTTGGAACTAAGTAAATAAGTAACTAAGTAACTCTGAGCAGTAAGTAACCCCGAACAGTAATTATCTATAAGCAGAAAGTAACTCTGAACAGTAAATATCTATGACCAGTAAGTAACTCTCAACAGTAAGTATCTATGAGCAGTAAGTAACTCTGAACAGAAAGTATCTATGACCAGTAAGGATGTATGATCAGTGACTAACTTTAAACACTAATAAACAATGACTTGCAACTTTTGTAACACAACACATTTCTAAGACGTGGCCGGCAGCAGTCACTTCGTTTCGGGGATGTCAGAACAAGTTGGGAATCATATGCACTGATGTACGAGATTTGCTTTGGAACTAAGTAAATAAGTAACTAAGTAACTCTGAGCAGTAAGTAACCCCGAACAGTAATTATCTATAAGCAGAAAGTAACTCTGAACAGTTAGTACCTATGACCAGTAAGTAACTCTGAACAGTAAGTATCTATGAGCAGTAAGTAACTCTGAACAGTAACTATCTATGACCAGTAAGTAACTCTAAACAGTAAGTATCTATGACCAGTAAGTAACTCTGAACAGAAAGTATCTATGACCAGTAAGGATGCATGATCAGTGACTAACTTTAAACACTAATAAACAATGACTTGCAACTTTTGTAACACAACACATTTCTAAGACGTGGCCGGCAGCAGTCACTTCGTTTCGGGGATGTTAGAACAAGTTGGGAATCATATGCACTGATGTACGAGATTTGTTTTGGAACTAAGTAAATAAGTAACTAAGTAACTCTGAGCAGTAAGTAACCCCGAACAGTAAGTATCTATGAGCAGTAAGTAACTCTGAACAGTAAGTATCTATGACCAGTAAGTAACTCTAAACAGTAAGTATCTATGACCAGTAAGTAACTCTGAACCGAAAGTATCTATGACCAGTAAGTATGTATGATCAGTGACTAACTTTAAACACTAATAAACAATGACTTGCAACTTTTGTAACACAACACATTTCTAAGACGTGGCCGGCAGCAGTCACTTCGTTTCGGGGATGTTAGAACAAGTTGGGAATCATATGCACTGATGTACGAGATTTGTTTTGGAACTAAGTAAATAAGTAACTAAGTAACTCTGAGCAGTAAGTAACCCCGAACAGTAATTATCTATAACCAGAAAGTAACTCTGAACAGTTAGTACCTATGACCAGTAATTAACTCTGAACAGTAAGTATCTATGACCAGTAAGTAACTCTGAACCGAAAGTATCTATGACCAGTAAGTATGTATGATCAGTGACTAACTTTAAACACTAATAAACAATGACTTGCAACTTTTGTAACACAACACATATCTGGGACTTGGCTGGCAGAAGTCACTTCGTTCCGGGGATGTTAGAACCGGTTGGGAATCATATGCACTGATGTACGAGATTTGTTTTGGTACTAAGTAAATAAGTAACTAAGTAACTCTGAGCAGTAAGTAACCCCGAACAATAATTATCTATAAGCAGAAAGTAACTCTGAACAGTAAATATCTATGACCAGTAAGTAACTCTCAACAGTAAGTATCTATGAGCAGTAAGTAACTCTGAACAGAAAGTATCTATGACCAGTAAGGATGTATGATCAGTGACTAACTTTAAACACTAATAAACAATGACTTGCAACTTTTGTAACACAACACATTTCTAAGACGTGGCCGGCAGCAGTCACTTCGTTTCGGGGATGTTAGAACAAGTTGGGAATCATATGCACAGATGTGCGAGAATTGTTTTGGAACAAATTTAAGAGCAACCTCTTTGAATGAAACTATGGAGTTATTCTTTTATGTACTTTTACTAGTATTTGCCATGCTCCGAATATATATATATAGATATATATATAGTTGCCATAGGGACGATCGGAAGATTTTAAGAAAAAAAATATCATTTTTCCAGTTTTCAACAGATTTTCATCAAATTCGATTTATAGCCATTATATGTTAATCAAGAATTTTATGTAAATCGGACTACTATATGCTATATGATAGCTGCCATTCAAACTATCGTGTAAATTAAAGGAAAATACAAAACGGTGAATGAAGTGAATGCAGGCATTACTTTAGTGTTTTTGTTTTTAACATAAATATATACAATTTATATTGTATTAATTCCTAGAGATCGAATTTCAATCTTCAAGGGTACAGAAACTACGGCGAGCCGAAGTAAGCTTCCTTTCTTGTTAAATGACATTTAGGTGCTTTTCTTAGTACTCCCCTTGGAGTGGTCCAAACAAAGGCCAGTTGATGCTGCCTAAAATTCCTTTCAAGAATGTCATCCGGCGACCCATCCCCGATGCGTCACGTTCTTTGTTGTGATGCCGCTGCTCTGGAAAGATCCGCGAAAGATAAACAGATGGACAAACAGATACATATTTAGATACGTGCATAAGTGGATCTGATATCTGCAGCCGGCCATCCTGACCTCCCCTTTTCGGATTTATCTGGCGCGATGCGAGTTATCTTTACACACTTCCGTTTCAGATCCGCGGGGGCAGCTTCTGTGCCGCCCCAAACCCCCTTGGCTTTTATGGGTTTACAACTGTATTTTGCAACCCAAAAAAAACCCACAGCGACGACGACGTCAGAGCGGAGCAGAAAAACACCCTCCAAGTGTATAGTTCCACTTTATTTGCACGATATCTGTCTATCTGTCTGACTATCTGGCCATCTATCAGGCGAAGGTGCTAAGCCGTCAGATAAGACGTTCCAGCATCCCGGTCAGAGCTGGCTATATAATCTCCGACGGCCCTGCCGGCAGCTCATACAACGATCGACCGACGTGGCCACTGGCAACGATGACGATGCAAACGACAACCACCACAACAAGCACCACCTTTACAGTGCGCAAGATGACCAGCCACCGGATCTCCAAGCTGTCCACCATTCTGCTGCTCTGTGCCGCCCTGGTGAGTATCCCTGGATGAGTGAAGGATCCATTGTTGGAGGATCAAATAATGTCTGACACCTGACCGTTGCTAACTTGCAGCTGCTGACCAAGTCCTGCGGCATTGTGGCCCTCAGCGGTGACGGCAATGGATCCGCCAGCTCGGGTCAGGCCGTGGCCCAGGCAGAGCCCTGGAGTGATGCCACCACCACCACACTTCAGCCGGAAGAAGAGGGCAGCGGCGGCTGGGAGACCACCACTGAGCTGGCCAATGAGGAGACAACCGAAGCTTCGGCCAATGAGGAGAATCCTACGACACTATCGCCTGAAGAAACCACTCAGCCTGAAGAGACCACTCAAGCGGAGATTGATAATGAGACAACCACCTCGGCTGACCAGGGAGGTTCTGGCAATGGTGAGACCACCGCACCAGCTGAACAGGAGACCTCCTCCAGTGGCTCTGGCGATGGAGAGACCACCACCGATGCACCGGAGAATTCCTCTTCCACATCAGCACCCGAGGAATCTTCCACCTCAGCACCCGAGGAATCCTCCTCCTCAGCACCCGAGCAGTCCTCATCCAGCGTGGCTCCAGAGAGTTCAGCCGCTCCCGAGGACACAACCACCTTGGAGCCAGAGACGACTAGCAGCTCCAGTTCCAGTTCCAGCGTAGCTCCGGACACCACTATTGCACCCACACCTCCCATCTTTACGTGCCAGTCGGCTGGACTCTTCCCTGACATCACTGGCGACTGCCAGCGTTATCACAACTGCCTGTTGAATCCTGTGCTGCACCAGCTCCAGGATGTGGCGCTGACCTGCCCCCCTCTGACCGTTTTCTCGGCAAACCTCGGACGCTGTGTGCGCGATGTGGCCGAGTGCCCGGATGATACCTTCCAGTGCCCGGCTGTGGGACGATTTGCTGGACACGATGATACCTATTACTACAGCTGCGTGGCCAGTCTGCAGGGTGGCTTCCACAAGTTTGTGGTGCGCTGCTCCAGTGGCCAGCGATTTGAGGCAATGATTGGAGGCTGCTGGCGATACGATTGGACCCAGATTGTGCCCGGTCAGGAGGCTACCGAGATTAGCGATTTGGCGGCCATTAAGAGGGAGCTGAAGCAATACAAGGCCGAGGAGAAGTTGCGCCTGAAGGCCCAGAAGCAGCAGGAGAAGCTGGCCAGGAAGCAGCAGAAGCTGGAGGAGAAGGCCGCCAAGAAGGCGGCCAAGGAGCTGGCCAAGCAGCAGGCCAAGGCTGACAAGGACAAGGCCAAGGGCGAGTCCATTGAGAGTGCCGAGTCCGCGGAGTAGACTTCAAACACCTAAAACTCCTCTTCTATGTTGGTCCCTTGCTCTAGTCTAGTGAAATTATCTTTTTCCAGCTTCTGTATTTTTTTCTTCTTATATTTTATCCTCTCATTTTTTTTTGTAATTTTTGTTTTCCTGATATGAATAAAGATCTTAAAAAAAAACTATATATATATTTAAATTGGGGTGGTTGTCTTTCCTGGAAACGAGAAAAATGCGAAATGATCCCATAAATAGCTTAAGAGATAACAGTTTTTCCCCAGATAAACCCTGAAATACGCATATAGAAGGTCACTAACTAGAATTTCTCTAAAAGTTTAGTGAGAGATTAGGCAGCTTGAACAGGTGTGAAGTCTTCTGAATGCAAATAAACCTCTATATTATATTCCTTGGAACTATATATTTTTTAGGTTAATTACTAGCCTTTTGGATAATATACGTCAGGAGTTGTTATATGTACATATATTTAATCTTACTGTGGAAAAAAGTAACTTTGAGAAGTATGTAGTAAACGAATTATTCACAATTCACGTTTTAATGCATTCCACTTTTAAAATATACATAAATATACTTTTTAGTTCAAATAAATATTTTTAGGCAAATAGTCTAGGGTTCTAATCAGAAATATATTGTGTATACTTTGGAAAAAAAACTTGTGGCTGTTACAACAACAGAAAAATAAGTTCTTATCTTAATGACACGAAGCTAAAATCAAATAACAACTAAAAAGTATTTTTATATACATACGCAAGGTAAAAAATATTATTATATAATATATGTATATATGGTAACTAAATCCATTAAATCAGAAGAAACTCTTTGTTTTATAGCTGATGCATCTCTCACCCACAATCCTGTCCACTTGCTATTATTTGCTTGTCTGGCCCACCATTTCCGGTCTCTTATGCTAACTTCCTGTGTGTTAAGCTTAATCAACCTATAACAATCTTTGTTATACCCTATCAAGGTATTATAATTTCAGTCAGAAGTTTGCAACGCAGTGAAGGAGTCATCTCCGACCCCATAAATCATATATATTATTGATCAGCATCAACAGCCCAGTTGAGTCCGACAGTTTTAAAGGGATCTTGATGAAACTTTGCAGCTAGTCATCTAAATACTCTCACTCTTTTATAAGTTGGACGACTATATCACATAGCTGCCATAGGAACATTCGAAAATTTTTAGAAAAAATCACAACTTTTGCAGTTTTGAACATATTTTTATCTAATTTATTTAAAACTATCTTTTATTATTATAGAATTTCGTGTTAAGTTGTATAAAAATCGGAATACTATGCAATATAATAGCCAGAGAAACGGTTGTTAAATGTGGAGGGTCAGTAAGTATCTTTTAACTACTAAGTAACTATAATAAGTAAGTATCAAAGAACATCAAGTAACAATGATCTACTGATTTATGATCAGTAAATAACTATGATCACTAAGTAACTATGAGCAGTAATTAACTCTGAAAAGTAAGTATCTATTACCAGTAAGTAACTATGATCAGTAAGTAATTATAATCAGTAATTAACTATGATCAATAAGAAGGTTGCAGTGGTGAGGCCCAATGGGGCCTCCAATTAAAGCTAAGCTCCTTTTTGTTCCATCAATAAGAAACTATGATCATTAAATATATATGACCAGGAAGTATGAATGATCACTTACTAACTAACATTGAACACTAATAAACAATGACTTGCAACTTTTGTAACACAACACATATCTGGGACTTGGCTGGCAGAAGTCACTTCGTTCCGGGGATGTTAGAACCAGTTGGGAATCATATGCACAGGTGTGCGTGGTAAGTTTTGGAACAAATTTAGAGCAAGCTATTTAAATGAAACTATGGAGTTAGTCTTCAATATTATTTTACTAGTATATAAGTATATAAGAGCATGACGAATCGGTGGACTATATATATACATATACAATATATATATCTGACATAGGCACGATCAGAAGTTTTTAAGAAAAAAACTATTACTTTTCCCGTTTTCAACAGATTTTCATTAAACAATTTCTTTTAATAAATTTAAAACTATTTTTTTATATATAAGCGATCCGTTTATTTCGAAAAATCAACTAAAACTAGAAATCGCAGCAACATTCCCAATGATTTAATTACAAACTGGAAAGGAATACAAATGTTGTTTACTATTTTTACATCTTTTACAAATGACCGAAACTAGAGCTTAATGGTTTTTGGTTGGATCTCTTATCGGTGGCTTAGTCACACCACCAGACATTTCGGCCACCTTTTGATAATGGTGTGTGTTATAGGTATTCACGCACCCCGTCATTATCAGCCAATCAGTCGCAATCTCGGAGATTGGCCTTTGGGCAATTCGGTCCTAGCCTGGCTATAAAAGAGCCGGGCCAATTGTCCGATCAGTTAGTCCGTCGAACCAAGTACCGATAACCAAAACTAAACGAAACCGAGAACAGAACGAAGATGTTCAAGCTATCGATGCTGTTGGGCCTGGCCCTAGTCCTGGCTCCCCTGATGATTCAGGCCAAATCCTTGCCGGAGGTGCCCATGCCCATCTCCGAGATTGAGGCTCGCGACAATGGAAATATTGAGAATCCGACCATTCCACCCAGTAATTTGGATGAAAGTACCGAGGCACCGGCTACTGCGGCACCAACTGCAGCTCCTGGAACTACGGAGAAGCCTGCTACGGCTGCTCCTGGAACTACAGAGAAGCCTGCCACGGAAGCTCCTGGAACCACTGAGAAACCTGCCACGGAAGCTCCTGGAACCACTGAGAAGCCTGCTACTGCAGCTCCTGGAACTACGGAGAAGCCCGCTACTGATGCTCCTGGAACTACGGAGAAGCCCGCTACTGATGCTCCTGGAACTACGGAGAAGCCTGCTACAGATGCTCCTGGAACCACTGAGAAACCTGCCACGGATGCTCCTGGAACCACTGAGAAACCTGCCACGGATGCTCCTGGAACCACTGAGAAACCAGCTACTAATGAACCTGCTACCGATGAACCCTCAACCGGCGAACCCTCAACCGATGAACCCTCAACCGATGAACCCTCGACCGATGAACCTTCGACCGATGAGCCCACAACCGATGAACCCTCGACTGACACCACTGAAGATGATGGCAACACAACCACCGATAGTGACGACGACTTCGGCAGCACCGCTTCCGACCATGTGTGCGCAACCACCGGCTTCTTCCCGACGGAAAACTGCTCGCAGTTCATTATCTGCAGCTACGGCAAGGAAGGCAAGGAGCTGAAGCCCTTCATCCGCAAGTGTCCGGGTGCTATGCAGTTCGATCCGGTGGAAGAGTTCTGCAGCGAGGAGTACGATTGCGACGCTTAGAGAACTGCGACTTGGTAGAGATCTAGGATGTGAACAATAAATTCACTGCGAGCCCTTAAGCAAACACTAATCGAACCCGTACCTTTTGTTTCCTTGATTAATATCTTTTTTTTCTGTGTGTGATTACCTTTTTTTTGGAGTGAATAAATTCTAGTTTAATTATTATTAATTTATTTGAAATTGGTATCTGGCATCTTGATGGGCCGTCAAGTGGTTGCGTATGATGGGGGACTTTAATTCCAATTTCATTCCCATTATCCATCACGGCGATAAGGTGCCATCCATATCTTATCGCCTGTCATTAAAGGTCTGCTTGACCGTTTTTCAAAAAATAAAAAAAGAAAACCTATTAGGCTGCTAGAGATGTTGTCAAGTCAATTTCCTGATCACAAATCAGAATGAAAACCTTCGGAAGGCGTCAATGCCAATTCTAAAAGGCTTTTTATAACAAGATGTCAATCTGCTTTCTGTCTAGATCTGCATGGCATACATGGTTCTGTGAGCTATGAATCTTATAAATTATAGTTTCCTTGCTTATGATAATTTGATATAGATACATATATATTTCCTACTTTCATTCACCTTTTACTAAGAGTTTTCTTCTTTGTCTGATGGCTTAGTCCCCATCTTCTTTCAAATTAAACGAAATTAAACTTTTAGAAAACCAGCACATGGTCAGTTCTTTTCCAAATAACAATGATTCTTCCTTGAAAACAATTAAATGTCTTTAAAAGTTCCTGGAATATTATCTAATCATTTTCACTCTGATTGATCTTGACCTGTACAAAAGCAAAGTGTCAGTGATTAATGAAGTTCACTAAATGTTATTTCTCATTTTTGTTGTTCTTTAGTTTTGCGTAGGTATTTTTTTATTTTAAATGCCAAGTATTTCCCATACTTTATTTATTATTATGATATATAATATATCATTTTAGTAACCCTACGCAAGTAGGACTACTACTCAATCTGAAATTCCCCATTTTTTGGGTATCTAATCACTGTCAAGTGATTATAAATAATTACCACTTATTTTCCCTTTTATGAGTTGATTTACTATTGCAATTTTTGGCATTTGATATACGGATATGCTGTGAGCCTATCAAGGTTTTAGTGTATTTCCCAGAACTTTCAATTAAGAATCAAGTTTATCAAATCGTAATAAATAAACTAGTAGTTCCTGGTATTTTACAATCACAATTCTCATTTGTTATTATATACTTTATATTTCTCCCATCACCCCAGCACCCTAACTTTTGGGTTTCTCTTAATGATGAGCCCTTATCCCGCCGCCAAAGGCCGCATTTGATCACGTGCCGATGAGTGCGAGGTGATAATGATGAGCACGGTTGGTGTTATCTGGTGGCTCCGTGCCTCCACTCTGTACTCGGTGGGTCAGTGGTGCCGCCGGGTGTGTTTGATACACTTCCGCATGGCCGAGCACGGAGTCCGGAGTCTGGAGTCTGGAGTTGATGATGATGATGGACTCGGAACGGGTTGGATCTGCGGCGAGTGCGATAAGTGTGCAGGTTAACACAACCCGATGAATTCTCAAATGAGTGAAAGTCTCTCACTTGCTCCGCTGATCGCCGGCAGGTTGCATAAAACTCGAGGCTTCGTTGGACAATTGCGCATGCGCGTAGCTCGTTAAAATGCCTTTTTTTGCCTTAGTTGCCGGAGCAGAGCTTACAGCTTGGATGCAGTCCAGGCACGTAGCATCAGCTGGCTCTGGCCAATCCCAACCCAATCCCAATGCCAGTTCCCCGGATACGTGCCTAGTGCCATTTGGCGAACGAGATGTGCCATTTGGCCCTAAACGGTCATAGGCAAATGGAGATTTAACTGATTTTGCATTGCACAGGAAACAATATTTTCAACAATTTTGTGAATAACAAAAAAAAAATTAATCAAAACACATGGCAAATATTATTACATACTTATTATTTGCTAAGTTTACTTATTATTTCACTTTTTTCACTGCACTTTTTAAGATTTTCTTATTATTTTAAAAATAATTTAAAATTGCAAAAAAAAAATCCCTCTAAATTCAAGATAATTGCAGGGTATTATACTTTCAGTCTAAGCTTGAAACGCAGGGAAGAATTCATTTCCGACCCTATAAAGTATATATATTCTTGATCAGCATTAACAACTGAGTCGATCTAGCCATTTTAAACAAAAAAAAAATTTATAAATTTTTTGCAACATTTTTTAAGGGTTTGCATCATTAAATTTGACAAAAAATAATAAAAAATTTTAATTTCTTTAAATTTTAAATTGAGTATGCAGATTTAATAATCTAATAAAAACTAACATATGACTGCTTTCCGAATGGAAAATAATCAATTTTTGACTTAGTTATGAACAATCTCAGTTCGATTAAATGATCCCATTATAATCTTTAACCTTTAAGGGTACGATTTCAATGGGTATATTTCTAGTATTGTATATATTGTATATTTAAAATATATTCACAGAAATATTGCTTTCAAAATCATATCGAAAAGAGTATATGTGTATATATTCATATATTGGAATGTTTTAAATAAAAAAATATCGTATTTATCATAAGAATAATTTTAAATGCTGGGAATATATAGATTTTTATATTTATATATTTGTGAAGTCTTCCCACTTAATATTCGTTGTCTGACCCTGCCTCTTTAACACACCTTATGGCAATATCTACAAGTCAGTGATTATTTAAGATTGTTTTGGTTCGCTTCTTTCAAATATTTAGAGTAAATATTGACTTTGCTGCACTTTTACTTTCGCACAGTGTAGCCAGCGGTATATCGGGGTCACCATGGGCACATCCATACAATATATACCCGGGCCTGGCCCATTCTGCATTGCGAACAGTGGATCGCTCTTGTTGACCACTTTCATTTGTGCAAACTCTTTCGGGGGAACAATCGACGGACCGACAACAAACATTTGCGTGCGAACATTTCTGTTGCTTTTATTTGGGCATTACAGGGTATTGTGGATTTTCCCCTTTTGGGTGTTGCTATTATTTCGAATTTGAATATATTTTTGTTAGCTTTTTTGGGGACCCCGTACCGCCCGAGATAAATGGGCAGATACAATTGTATCTTTAGAGTGAAGACGATGCGCACTTGTTATGTCACTTGCACATTTGCACGTCGTCGGCCCGTTTCTGTTTCTGTTTTTTTATTATTTCGTTAATTCCGTTTATCTCATGCCAGCCGAGATCACATTTAAATGTTGTACAACAATTATGCGATGCTTGGATGGAGCTGGAGATGTAGTTGGGTTTGTGGCCCATTAAGATTATGTGTGGCATCTTCACTAGGAAGCTATGTTGCTGCTTAAGTTGGGCAACTAAACGGCGCCGTAATAGTGATGATGATTTGGAAATTGAGAAAATTGTCAACCCAGTACGGGGGTCTGTTGATGGGACAAATCCATCCATCGATGGGGATGCTCAGCTGGCATAATTGAGGAAATCTGTGGCCAATGAGTTGGCAGGTGAAACAAAGGGAGGGGCCAGAGAGACAATTAAGGTAGAAACCCAGGTAAACGTATTTAGGTTCCTTGAAAATGTGTCATAAATATAGTTATATCATAATTATTATTATATTATTTACACACCTATTAAAACATAGTTTCAGCAACATATCTTTTCATTTGAAACTTTGAAATAATATTAATTGTGCAAGCAATTAATATTCATTTATATAAGTGCAATAATATGAATTATGTTAGTGTTATCATGTCATGTCCAAATCTAATTAATACTATACAATTTAAGTGCTTATTTAAGCAATTAAAACTTGCAGCTAATGCACTATTTTGACTCTTGTTTTAAAGATTGTGTGTGTGTTTTTTTATTACTCAATCCTTGCCCTCTGACTGCAAGTTGGTCTGATTAAGCGTACATTTAATGACTATTAACTAGGCCTCTTTAAATATTATTTACATTTTTATAAATGATTACCCAAGAAAGCCCTCATATTTGAACATTTTCTGTTACTACATTTATGATTTATACTATTTTAACTCTACTTTACACCACACGGATCTTGGATCTTAAATTGTTAAAATATGAGCAAATAAATGCTTTTAATAAATAAGTTCATAAAATTATAGACTGAAATTTAGAACGAAGATTTTAAGTAGATTGACCTACTAAAATAGTACTTTTAGGGACTTTAAAAGTAAGCTTCAGGGATCTCTGTTTCGTTAGCAATTTCTCAATTTCTCAAAAGTTAGATGTTGCAAGGAAACCGTGTGCCCCCCAGGCTTCATCTTGATCTGCCTTTTGCTAAGCTGCAACTTGGTCTTAGCTCATCTGCGATGCTGCCTCGTTGTCACAGATATTTGCAACATTTTGCATGTTGCCTTTGAGCAGATGCCGCTCACGTAGCCTCACGATCGAGCCACTCTCTCTTCTCATTCCCAAACCCAGACCCAAGACTCTTCTCCGTTTCTCCAACTCTCTCTCTCTCTCTCGGCAGCTAAACTCTCTCCGACGACTGACGAGCGACAAGCAAACCCAAAGACCGCCTTACCTGCCGCATTTTCCACGGCCAGCGCTCAGTTCGTGGGCGCCTGCGCGCATGTGCAGTCAGAGATACAAAGATACAAAGATACATCCGTCGGTCCGCGCGATCCAGAGATATATATTTTTTGCGAACGGTGTTGTGCAGCATCATCCCAGTTGGAGCCATAAAAGTGAAAACGAGCAGTGACAACAAAATAATAAAAAATCTATATTTATAAAAGAAAGAAGTGCCCAAAATCTCAATCACAATCGAATCTTTTATTTCGTTTTTTTGTTCGAGTGTTGACCACGAGTGTGTGTTTATCTGCCAGATTCTAAGGAATTTCAGGTATCAACTACCTTTACCTGCCTGAGATCGATCATCGAACAGAATCCAATCCATTGGGGTGTACACACCCTAAGTGGCACCTGAGTTTTTTTCCGGGAAAATGACACACCAGAAAATGGTAAGAAAATTCGAGATATGTAAACCAAA